TCAATTTTATGCTAAAACCTGATTCTGGCCCATTATATGCAAAGCTCTCACCGTGTGGTAGTTTTAAAAACAGTTTGAATGGAACAGCTGCTATTTACATTTACACTGACAGCCAGATCCCTCCTTGCCTTAGTTCTGTTTACTGCTTTCCCTCCCTTGCAATGTAACATTGTTACTGGATGTATAGCCATGCTACATCAAAAGAAATGGCAAGTGAAGACACTCTGATAAGTAGTTAAAATGTGTGTATCATGCCACAAAAGCTTTGTGTGTGAGGGCCCAAGAATGAATGAAATAATCCATGAATTAACATACACATGATACTCAGTAAGGAGAACAAATCTATAGTTAAATCCTGTATGGGAGGTATTTTAGAGTCAACAAGTTTGAGAAAAATAGAAATTTTAGGATCAAAAAAGCATGTGAATAAGGCTCTCAGGGATCTGACTGATCCATGAAGATAAAGATCAATGAGCTTCTCTGTCTCTGTGGAGGGACAAAATGCCCACATGAACAGCAAGCAGGTACAGTAATCTGTGGTGGAACAGTGATCCAGGAAGGGCCGGGAATGTGTTTCCTTCTGTTTCCATCTGGCAAATACTGCTGTGTCACCTCCTATCTTTGTAAGATGAGGGAGGACGCCCTAATTCTTTGTTTGCAAAACAGGTTTAAGCCTTTTTAAAAATTTCAATGCATTGTGCCTCTTGACAAACCAGTATCCCCTTCCCCCCATTCATTTTTATACAGCCACCAAAGCAACACCCCAACTTTGGCATGTGTGACCATTTTATGTCATGTCATTTCAAGAATATTTTAGAAGTAGGGTGGATGTTGGGGGATTAGGGTTATTGCTTGTGCAGGAGTATTTTAAGTACAAGGCTTTACGGTCTATAAGCCAAGTAGTGCTTACTGCCCTTCCAAAAGAGTAGAAACCACTAAAAGTATTCAGCTTTTCAAAAACAGCATCAGCAGTGGGTAACTCATACTGAGTAACTCTCAAAAAGCCAACAGAGGTCAAATTTCAGAATCTGAGAAGAGCATAAAAAAGGAATTTGCTCCCAGTTTCAGGACACTCATTTTTCACACTTGAAAGCAAAAAGTGAACAACAAGGGGAAAATATTAAGAAAAGTTTCGATGTCCATCACTGATGCAGCCTAGAAGTGGAAAGTTAATGGGAAAATGCTTTCTGGATCACTTGTTTTACTGAGTTTCTGGGCTCCCACATTATTTTACAAAAAGAAGATCTAAATGTATTTTTAAAGAGAAATAAATACACCCGATTTTTAACTTTTATAAGTCAGTAAGGATTTTCCTTCCTTTAGAATTGTTTTTTGGGGAAAATGTACTTTAGACAATTAAAAATCAACATCTAGTACACTAATTTGCACTAAAAGATACTTGTACATTGTTATCACTAGATAATTCTGGTCAACTGTCACTGTAACAATATTGCCTTAAAAACAATTTGTCTAACTTAGTATTGCAATACCTAATGTTATTAAATAAAAGCAACAATTCATATGTGTTAAATTCCAGTCACATAGCTATGATTTCAATTTTATTTATATATATGGAAAACTAGCACATTCAAATCTATCTTTGGGATTATTCCAAGAAGTACCAATTAGAAAGCAAATTTGAGGAGCACCTGGTTGGCTCAGTTGGTAGAGCACACAACTCTTGGTCTCGAGATTGTAAATTCAAGCCCCACACTGGGGGTTGTGATTACTTAAAAATAAATTCTTAAAAGAAAAAAAAGCAAAATTGAGAATATTTTTAAACCCGAATAAGATATTCTACTAAATAGGGGTGCCTGGGTGGCTCAGTCGATTAAGCATCCAACTTCCACTCAGGTCTTGATCTCACGGTTGGTGAGTTCAAGCTCTGCGTCACACTCTGTGCTGACAGCTCAGGGCCTGGAGCCTGCTTCGAATTCTGTGTCTCCCCCTCTGCTGGCCCCTGCTCGTGCTTTGTCTCGTTCTGTCTCTCAAAAATAAATAAACGTTAAAATATTTTTTAAAAATTTAAAAATTTAAAAAAGATATTCTATTAAATAAATTGTCTCATAATATCAAGCTATAGTAATCCCTAGAGCTGAAGGACAAAGTTAATATATTATAGGGTTCCCAAAGTATTCTGAAATGAATGTACTCTATATATGATATGATACGTACACTACATATCATATAATCTACGATATGAATAAAGGTCTTATAATGTGGTAGTTCCCTGGCTTAATGATAATTTTGTTTAAACACCAACACTGTGTTTTTTAAAGTGATAATTCTGTTACCTATTCCACACCTTACACTTAGCACAGCACCTGATTCATAATAAGTACTCAGTAAACATATGTTAAGTGAAAAATCTTTCAAATATCTTATTGGTTAATTATAACAATAGTCTTGTGAGGCACTCCTTTAAAGAAAATAATGAAAAACTAGAGCAAAAGAGAATTTCTAGAAAGAATAAACTGTATAGGAAATCC